ACTAGGGCGTAACAGTAAGTTGAAATGGAAAGGGCGCCAGTTTAAGTTGTCACACCCGTTACGGCTTCAACCCGCGATTTCGGATAGGATGGAAGCATAAAAGGAACAGGAGAGGACCAGCTGATGAGTAAAAAGGGGATACGTTTCTATTAAAGACGGGAAAAATAGTCCGGGGAAGGGTAGGATAAGGATCTCGACTAACTTCTTAGGGGTCGAATAAGCAGGGTGACGAACGGGAAAACGCAGCTAAAGCACGCGACAAGCGCTCTCCTTCACTAACCAGGTTCAATATGCGGGAGTTATTGTAACGTGTAATATCGATATACGATATGATTTGCATATGATGCTCCGCTTGTCGCTAAGGCCGGACGCAAGACGACGAAGATCTTAAGCGGGAGAAGCGAAGGAAGAGTCATCGTCTATCTTGCTCGGTCTTGCTATCACGACCGCAGCAAAAAAGTTGGTTCCGGTCTTTGCTGACCATCGCCGAAACGGCCCATCCAACCATGTAACGAATGTGGAGCTGCGCCCTTGGATTGACGAGCAGGGCGTTCGTCAAAAAAGGTGGGGGACGAAGAGGGCTGGAAGAATTATTATTGGCCCCTGATTCGCTCTCGCTCGCATACTACTGCAACGGCTTCTGGACGGTGTCCTTTCTCAGATCCGTTCTACTGTGCGGCCATGACCGGACCGTCCTAATGCACACCGCCAACTTTTGCTAGGCTGATAGGTAAAAGTTCTAGCATGATCGAATGTGTCATTGCATAAATATCATTCTTTAAAGACTTTTCTAGAAAGGACGTGAAGAGAAATCCGTAAAATCAAGGAGGTTAAACTTAGTCGAGGTATCAGACAATACTGTGCATACGGGTTGGCTCAATGCCCCGGAAATGGACCTATCCCTGTATTTCTGCCCTTCTAATTGGTGGCTCTTTCATGCTGAGTCGCCAGACTTAAAAGAGAAGTTGTATCCAATCAGAATTGACGATTAGCAAACTAACTCACTACTATTAACGAAGACATCGCGTAATATGAGGAGGTGCTGCAACTCTTATCACATAACTAGGTACTAGGTAGCCAGACTAATAGAAAGAAAGAGGTAGATATACATAAATCGATCCAACACCGAAGCATTTCTCATCATGTTAAGTCGACAATAATCGATATTCTCCAAGAGTTGTGCAAGTAGCATAAACGATGAACCCACAATCTTGAAATTTGAAAAGGGGCATGGTTACTACAGAGAGTATCAACTCCAAACTCAAGGCCACGAGCATCTAACAACTTAATAGCATAACAACAGGAAGCATTTTTTAAATATTCGATGAAATATTAATAAATATTTTCGAATTTATAAGATGGCATTTATCTATTACAATAAACAAGCCGTAAGCAAAGATTAACATACTTAGGTACTTACTAGAGAAGATTGAGGCCTTGTTATATGAGGCTGAATGATAGGTATTCAGAAGTTTACTTGTTACGATTCACATATTCTATTCGCTTGGGTTTCAAAAGGCGACTGAACATATCATGTTAGTATTTGACTAGAAGGGACTATAGTTGTGTAAAAGGGGGGAGGAATTATGTAAGGGCGCCGGGAACGGCTTTCATACACCTATTCCGCCTCGGCCGTGTCCCTAGATTGCCAGCATGTCGTAACAAATGTCATTTGTCAGGTGGATGGGACGAATCCCTAGTGCGTTTATCACGTAGACAGATCGTCTCAACGAGTCTTCATGTATCAAGTACCTAAACAGAATACCTCTCCTTGAATAAGTACTTGATAATCTATTGAAGGCCACCAGGATCTCGACTTGGCAACACTCCACTTTCACCACATGGCAAACGTAGTTCTTGTTCAGTATCATCATATGATACTCATTGGGTCCATTGAATCCGTCTATACTTGAACGGGCGTAGAATAAGATGTCAATATACGTAGGGGGGTGCCTAGGTTAGTATTCTACGAACGCGGTTTCAAGTAAAAACTTCAGTGAAAGCAACAACTTTCTAGTACTCTCGATGAAGTTTCGAAGCATCATCATATTAATATCCAGCGCATTGTAGGTGGTTCTGCTTAGATGAAACTGGCTTTCCCCCTTGTTAGATTGTGGCAATGCCTCGGTGTAAGACACAAATCAGATCAAGTTATCATATGTCGATCATAAGGTAAAGGGTTGGATGTAGGTGAATCCGTGCTGTATCCATAACATATTCGCTACCTGCTAAGGTTAGATAAAGACTAGAGGCAGCACTATTGATTTCTAACACTGTGTTGCAATAAACGTTTTCTCGTTAGCAATGCTTCGTTTGTATAGATTTTTCTGGTTCCTATCGTCCTCTTTTTACTTTTGTAGCTGATAGAACACGCGTCGAAAGTACCCAATAGATAGGTATCCATCTAAGACTTTTCGTCACCGCTAGCCATGTCGATTCCTAGGTACTTATTCCCCAATCCACCGGGATACGTCCCATAGTCCAAGGCAGTCTAGAAGGACAGTTATAAGAAGCTCATGTACATCTTAAGTTCCCGGTATATGTCTGAGCTTCGCATTAGGTGACATTTGTAATTTCCGTTGAGAAGAAAGCTATGAGTCACCAATTCAAGGGCGATCTCCGGACCGGAGCCACGATACATGCCCGAGTATCAACACGTTTATTTCTACCACTTGATCTCCAATATTCAAGAATCGTAGCTGCGAAAATATATAAGGCCATCCATTGTAGAGAAACCTAACTTAGCCTAGAACGCCGCGTCGCTTTCATAGCGACTCAACGCGTTCGGTGGAATAATGAGATTTCTTACAAATACCTAGTTATTTTCTTCTATATTTTACCGGCGGTTTTACCAGTGAATTTTATATTGGTTAATACCTATCGTTTACTACTTAATACGTTCAATTGCAAGCTAGGTCATAATAGTATCAAGCTGTGATGAGTATCTTGAACTAAAGGGGTATTAATATGAGACAAGACATTTGAATTGAATCATTTGATAGTTATTTTCAGTTGTGCGGTATCAGTGACCACTGCCACTATGGGTTCTACTATTGTGGCTATTTAGTTAATACTCAAGATTCGTAGGGAGCGACTAATATCATTCATTTAGAAAATAAGTGAAACTAAGTCATTAGACTTTTCTGAAAGTACTCATATTAGCTATATTGATTCATTGCTGTTTTTCTATTTTAAATAAGTCTCAGCTCAAATGTATATGTTATCACGGAGACCGGCGGTGACATTCCGAATAGCTTCAATAACACCGGGGCCCACCTGTCAAAAGGCAACTCAATTCCCCGATTCCGAGTCGGGATGGTACCTAAGATCCGGCGATCCCCGTATTCCAGTTTTCATTTCAACTTAACATAACCGCATTTGTTTGTCGTGGGAGTTAAGGCAACCGGAGATTATCGGACGTAAGCAACACTACGGCCCCGGTCGGATATAATGGCTGTCCACTCCGGAATTTATCTTTAAGAGTCTACCTAGATTATGAGACAACTACGTCATTTACAACATTATATATTGAATAGGATGCTCGAGCGGTCTTACTGCGCCACTCGTCAACTTGGAATGGCATATCAACACTCATTGTCCGGTCCCGTCGGGCTGTCTATGTCGCCGCTTCAGTAAGTGTATAGTATAATTCATGCTAGAAAAGGAGATGGAGGGCTTCTTATAAATGCGACATAATTGACACTCTAGAACTCATTGCAATAAGCTTCAACATACTTGAGCGTAAACATTTAACTCTTCAAAGTTTTTGACTTCAAGTTCGGCCTCTCATATCACGAGAAAACAACTCCAAGATGGCTCCCATTAACAAAGCTGTCTCTCTTACTGAGCCCAAGGCTTACCCACTGAAGATTGACACCTCACCATATCCAACTGCTGGCGATGGCGAGGTAATTGTCAAAGTTGCCGCCGCTGCCGTCAACCCCATGGATTGGTACATCCAAATCCTAGGAAACGACTTATTTAACTGGCTTCAATATCCATATGTTGGAGGGACTGACATCGCCGGCACAGTAGTCGAAGTTGGTCCTAATGTCAGCAAGTTTAAGGTCGACGATCGTGTGCTTGGCCTCTCAGGTGGATTCAGACCTCGATTCGGCGGTTTCCAGCACTATGCAGCCCTTGAAGTCAAAACTGCTACACACATTCCCGACGACTTAGACATTACCGAAGCTTCTGTTGTGCCCCTTGGGTTAGCAACGGCAGCATGCGCCTTATATCAGAAGGATTTCTTAGCACTCGATTATCCGAGCCTGAGTCCGAAGCCAAACGGCAAGACATTGCTCATTTGGGCGGGTGCCTCGAGTGTCGGAGCCAACGCCATTCAATTAGCTGTAGCTTCCGGCTACGAGGTATACACGACTTCGTCCCCCAAGAACTTCGACTTCTGCAAGCAACTTGGCGCTGCGCGTGTCTTCGATTACCATAGCCCAACCATTACCCAAGACCTCATAGAAGCCTTTAGGGGTAAGACGAGCGCAGGTGGTTTTGCCGTCCACCAGGGTTCGGACAAGATTGTTTTCGAAGTGGTCGCAAAGAGCCAGGGCAGTAAATTTGTGGCGTGCGCAGTGAACCCCACCGATGTTCCAGAAGGCATTCAGGCCAAAATGGTGTTTGCAGGCACGCTTAGGGATAACGAAGTCGGGCCTCTGATTTTCGATCAATTCCTCCCCGAAGCCCTAGCCCAGAAGAAGTACCGATGTCTTCCGAAGCCGTTCGTCGTCGGTCACGGTCTAGAGCACGTCCAAGATGCCTTCGACCGCGGGAAGTCCGGCGGCTTGTCCGCTCAGAAGCTAGTTGTTACGCTATGAGAAGGAAAAGTTCGTTAATGGAAGGTCTAAGCGCCCTGGCGGACCTTCTAAGGCCGCTAAAAAGGGGTGACTTAGAAGCCCCGTCTGCTTTCTACTAAAGAAGGCTTAGGGAAATTCTTGATTAATATAACAACTCCACTCAACGTGTAAATATTCGCAAAAATTATTGAAGCTGCTTTGGTGTAATGGCTAGCATTCGAGCCTTCCAAGCTCGAGATCGGGGTTCAATTCCCCGGAGCTGCATCTTTTTGTGATATTTTATTGATTGAATCGTCTTTAACCAGCGACCGGTATTATGGAGTGGCTCATGGCAGGTTAGTGATATAAAATTTTGAAGGTTGAAATTTTGTTACAATTAATTGCCAGGTGCCGGTACCTTTCCTGGCCCTGAAAAGGGGGGCTTGCTAGGTAGGTACCTGCAGTAGGTGCAGGGCAGGCTTGATGCTATAGAACCAACTCATCGTTACAAATCATACAGCTCTTGTTACAATAATTCCAACATATCCGACATAACCGACATACATGGCCGTCTTCATCTTACGTTTCATCAGATTAGCTTCATGCTCTAAGGCTCATCATTTTTAGCCTGGTGGATTTCTTTCACGTTTTTTCTGGTATCTTGCCACCCCATACCCCAAGCAGCAATGAAAGCCCCCACGCCGGCACTAGCGACCAAATAGAAGACTCTGTCTAAGCTGTCCGAATACGCAATCAAGACATTGGAAAGGTCTCGAGGGTCAACAACATTACGGAAATGTCTTGCGCCGGCAGATAAGACGGCTTGTACGTCGACATTTGGAGCCTGCTTTGGTAACAAAGACTTTAGACTCGCGTTAAAGATTGTGTTGTATAATGTTAGGAAGATCGTGGGGCCGATGTACTGTGCCCATAGAAGGAACGCCATGGCTGGAGATAAGTCTTTCTGGCTTACAGCGTTCTGAACGGCAACGATAGGCTAGGTGTTCGGTTAGTAACTACAATTATAGCGGATTTTCAGTGGTTTGGGAACTGACCATTTGTAAACCAGCGCCACGACCACAGCTAGCGATGACCTGAAACCCAACCCATTTTCCGGTTGACGTATCCGGTCGGAGCAAAGAGAATAACCCACAGCCGACTGACATGAGAACACCAGCGTAGATAGAGAACGGTGGTATGTAGCCCACTCTGGATACTAGAGGTATAACAATTAATACGTATTATAAACCAAAATGTTGTGTTAAGGAGTAACTCACCTAGAACCCCAGCTAAAACAGCGAATACCAGCTGGCCGAGAATGGTGGGTAAGAGGTAAACGCCACTCAATATGGCGCTTACACCTTTGATAGCCTGGAAATATATAGGAAGCCAGTACGACGTGCCGAAGAGAGTCGACATCTGAAAAGCATAATTCAACGCGCTCGACCAAACGACTCTCCGTCTCATGATGGAAAAGGGGAGTAGTCCATCGTCGCCCTTGTAGTTATTCCATAAGACCCAGACAGCTAAGGTCGCGAATGCACCAACAAAAAGGCCAATAACCTGGGAGGAATTCCACGCAAATTGGTTTCCGCCGTACTCAAGAGCTAGAAGGAGCTGAATAACAGCAGGGGCGAGCAAGGCAAATCCTACTAGATCTAGATGGTGATGAATCTTGGATAAAACCTTCAAAGCGGGTTGTTTTCCCATCTGGTCGGGAATATGAAGCGTCAGAATCGGTATGGCCACTATAGCGCCGATTGGAAGGTTGATATAGAAGCCTAAGACGAAATCAGCACCGCGCTATCAACGCTGAATCCGGGGTGGCTTACTCCATCGCCATGTGTAACCAGAAGTGAACGCACCCCCTATAAGAGGGGCTATAACTGTACCGAGCTGAGCAACTGTGAGATACGATCAGTATTCGCTGAATACCTAGGTAGGTACCTAAGTTCCTTAGGATAAAATGGAGATTGAAATCAACTCACCACCCTGAACCAGACCAATCAATGCTGTATGTCACAAGTCATTATTAGTTGAGCTTGGAAGAAGAAAAACGATATGTTAATATAGTGACAAGAAAACTCACGTGGACGTCGATGAAGAGGCACACAGCACGATATTATAATGATGGATCCACTAAGGAGACCTGATGCCCCGGCTCCAGCTACAGCGCGGCCGACGATGAGCATGTTGGACGACTGCGCAGCGCCACATAATGCAGAACCGAGCTCGAAAATAGCGAAGAATGTTATAAAGGTCCACTAATAAGTGTAAGAGCGAGAATACCAGAAAGGAGGCGCACAGGAGGCTCACCTTGAGGCTGAAACAGTTGTAAATCTTTCCCGTCAGAGGCTGTAGTGAAGCCCTACACTCCCAAGTCAGTACCTGTTTTATTCATGATTGTAAAGGCATCGGAGTTTCGTACGATCCGAGATTATAGGCCGCCGAGTACCAGCCAATATCTTGAAGTGAGTGAAACTCATCTGAGATAGCCGGGATAGCCTGAGGTCACTTAGTAAAAGTCGTTTATCCATTGATGTGCCATGGAAGATATTGCGTACCGTGCTGACTATGGAGGTGTCCAAGAGCATCAAAAAGGCGGCCAGGCAGATACTAACGACGATAGAGACCAACTTCGCTCCCGTAACATATTGAACACTATCTTGTTTAGGCGCTTTGGCAGGGCTTGGGGTATTTCGTATTTCCGCATATTCGAGGGAACTCTGAATTAAGTCTTTTTCGCTTCCTTGGTCTCTCACACTCCCTGAAAGTTTCTCGCTTCCCTGTCCATCATTCGTCACATGCAAATGTTCTTCCCGTGTCTCGACGGTGTTGGCTTTCGCATACGATGTGGTGGTATCGCTACTATAATCCGGAGTAAGTATAGAAACCAAGCCATAAACAATTGCAATATTCCATGATCCATACCTCATAACTGTAATTGGCTTGAATGCCGGAATCTTAAAATGTGTAATGGTTGGCCGAGATTTCGTAGGCTTTTACTGCATTCGACCGACTGTTTGGGTCGCCAATTATTATATAAGGCTGGTAAAAGTGTCTCTACGGAGCCGTTTAATATCGAAGACGATCAATCTCATTGACTACTAATTAATAATACTTGTTGATACAAGTTATGGAAACAAATCGAGTCCAATGTCGACCGGCGAAAAGACTCCATGACGTTGACATCCGTATTGGTACCTAGAAGCAGCATTACGAGACGCGAAGATAATTACGGCGTGGATTATCACAAATATAGCGCCTCTATTTTGATACAATGGCGATATTTGGCGATTATTTAAGTAGGATCAACATTCCAATAACATTTCCAGAGACAGTGTCTTACCGCCGCTCGTCTGGATTTCCGGGGGAACAGGAGCAGGAAGCTCTTATCTCCGTGCCCGGCGGGCAATTTTATGTCCCTGTTCCGCCACCTGAATCAACTAAATAAGCCCAGTAAGTGTCCCGTATCCGTCCGCCGCAACTCATCTATCTTACGCTTCTAACCAATAATTATTAGGCCTAAGCAGAACGACATGGAAACAGAATCACCTTTAAACGCTCAGTCTACATCATCTTCTACTCCAGGGAGTAGAGCTTGTATTAACTGTGCTAAAGTAAAGTGCAAATGCATTTATCGGACCGACGGCGCCACTTGCGAAAGGTATTTCATTTTTGACTCAGCCATTTGGGGATTTTATTGGGAAGATCTATTGGATTTACAACCGCGCTATATGACTTTGTCTGATGTATCTTAGATGCCACCGTCTTAAAAAACAGTGTATTGTGTCGACTCCTGTTGGACGTCGCACAGCAAGGCGTCGCGGCGCTTCTAGAACGGCTAAACTTGAAGAAAAGCTCGATGAACTTGTGTCGCGCTTGAAAACCCAACAGGATAATAAAAATAAGGAGAAAGAAAATGATTTGGGTGAGGTCAGAGAGCTAGGTCAAAATGAATATGGCACAAGGAGCCGATCAATCGCCTCTTCGACTCCAGCAACGGCTATTCAAAGTCTTGGAGGCACTACTTTGATCGGTGCGGGAACCCCGCCTGGCTCGAGTGTTTCCTACCTTGATGAGCCACCCCCGTCGGAAGCTGAAGACCTGCTGAAAAAGTTCCGCGAAGAAACGATAGCAAGTCAATCACTAAGTCACTTACAAATTATAGCGGCACTGACCAAAAATATAGGGGTTCTTCCCATTCATATACATTCCCCCGCATATAACATCTCAGCAACTAAAGGAGGTATACCCCTTCTTATGGCTAAATATCATGTGTATAGCGCAGGCGTCGCAGAAAGAACGACTCTCCCTCGGTGACCAAGCAAGAAACATCGTAATCCAAAAGGTGGTTGTTAATAGAGAGAAGAGTTTGGATCTTCTACTGGGACTTATAGCACTGGTAGGCTGGTTAGTGATTCTTATCTAGGGCACTATGCCTTTGTGGCTCAAGCCTAATTCTCAACATGACTAGGTCACAGCGACAGCGAAGAGATAAGCCGTTCTGGACATTGTTCTCTCAACTCATTGTTACCCTAATCTACGATCTGGGTCTTCATATGCCCCAGCCTGAGAACCCGCCGATGTTTTGCGTTATTAGTAAGGATAACGATTCGCGAATATCAAATCTCTTCAGAACACCGACCCATGAAGTGCAACGGGCTGTGTTAGCCGCATTTTTTCTAACTTCCAGGTGAATCTCTCTATTATTTGTTATCCATACTACAGTATTATTATAGGAGATCTGATGCATGATAGAGTATCGAACATTTTCAAACATGCTCCTGGTCTCCGTTGGTCCTCTCACCTTGACAGCTACCTTTCCAATCTTGCCCGCGAAAGCAAGGTGCCCCAAGACGAGACTCTCTTAGCTCTAGTGAAGATGCAGCTAATTATAAACCAAACATACGATCACTCTTACAGTGGTGGTGGGGCTGGCTGTCCAGCTCTCTATATATCTGCTCTCCGATCGCAACTACACGAAATAACCAAACAAGAAAATCTTGATGCAGCTACTAAGAAGAATCACCGTAAGTTACATAAAATCTAAGTATCATTAATAGTTTCTTCTCACTGATGCATAGGCGGAGTTTAGCGATAACTTCACATCTTTGTCATTTTACAGAGCTTTTAATCAGTGAATCCGCCATAAGCAACCCCTCCACGCCCTGGAATGAACCCGATAGGCGGCGTTTTCAGGTCTACCAGAGCTGTCTTACAGCGATTAAAGCGTATTTTGACGCGTTCTTCTCAACGCCTGTTTCTCTATTGGAAAGTATGCC